CGTTTATTATGCTCCCTGTGAGGATGTGTTCAATACGTCGTGCCTTGTTAGACCAGAAGGAGGGGAATGGCGTTTATTATGCTGCCTGTGAGGATGGTTTCAATACGTCGTGCCTTGTTAGACCATAAGGAGGGAAATGACTCCTATTATGCTCCCTGTGAGGATGTGTTCAATACGTCGTCCCTTGTTAGATCATCAGGAGGGGAATGGTAATTAATAAGCTCCCTTTGAGGATGTGTTCAATACGTCGTGCCTTGTAAGACCATAAGGAGGGGAATGACGTTTATTATGCTCCCTGTGGGGATGTGTTCAATACGTCGTGCCTTGTTTGACCATAAGAAGGGAATGACGTTTATTATGCTCCCTGTGGGGATGTGTTCAATACGTCGTGCCTTGTTAGACCATAAGGAGGTAATGACGTTTATTATGCTCCTTGTGAGGATGTGTTCAATACGTCGTGCCTTGTTAGACCATAAGGAGGAGAATGACGTTGATAATGCTCCATGTGAGGATGTGTTCAATACGTCGTGCCTTGTAAGACCATCAGTAGGAGAATGACCTTTAGTATTCTCCCTGTGAGGATGTGTTCAATACGTCGTGCCTTGTTAGAACATAAGGAGGGAATGACGTGTATCATGCTCCCTGTGAGGATGTGTTCAATGCGTCGTGCCTTGTTAGACCATAAGGAAGGGATTGACGTTTAGTATGCTCCCTGTGAGTGTGTTCAATACCTCGTGCCTTTTTAGACCATAAGGAGATTAATGACGTTTATAATGCTCCCTTTGAGGATGTGTTCAATACGTCGTGCCTTGTTAGACCATAAGAAGGGAAATGACGTTTTTGATGCTCCCTGTGAGGATGTGTTCAATACGTCGTGCCTTGGAAGACCATCAGAAGGGGAATAACGTTTATTATGCTCCCTGTGAGGATGTGTTCAATACGTCGTGCCTTGTTAGACCATAAGGAGGGGATTGACGTTTAGTATGCTCCCTGTGAGGATGTGTTTAATACGTCGTGCCTTGTTAGACCATGAGGAGGGGAATTATTATCATATATTCCACAGAACGGAATCGGTATTTTGTAAAACGAAAAAGTGAAAGAAGACTGATATCATTTAATTGATATTTACATATATAAAAAACTGTTACGGTTATCAGAGTGATTAGTAATGTGGTCATCAATGGTTGTTTTTCGATATTTCTTTATAATTTAAGGGCATAGTTCTTTTGAAAATAAAATTATTTCTTGTTACAGTCAGACTTGGTCATTGAAATTTTGTTTACAGATCACCTGTGTTTTGAGACCACTTGAAATAATGCATGTATACGTATAATTAGGAGACAACCTGCAATACAGGGATCATATGATGGTAAATTGTAAAAATTATAATTTGATTGAATGAGTACTTTAAAATATAAGTTATATCGACTGAAATTAGTTACAATGGTGGGGTATAATTCAAAGTCTATATCAATTATAACCGCTGGTATTGTTGAAAACTACCCTATATTTGAAAGGTAAGAAACTGCCAAGATAAAAATACCATTTTTTATTACTTAAAAATCAGTTTCAAAAATTATGATAGAAACAGGGAAACATTATATTGAAACAGATGTTTACTATCCCCTCAATATTTTCTACATAGTAAATGAATTCATACCTTATCCCCAAATTCCTGAAAACAGACTCTTGCGTATGCTTTGAAATGTTCAATAGTAGACTGATTGGTCCAGCCACCGATCTTTAACAGATCTACTGGCATGTCATACTTGTAGATAGTGGCTATAGGTTCGATTCCAGCGGCAAGGAGACCATCGATGACCTTCTTGTAATAGGCTACTCCTAATTGGTTGACTGTGTGGTTGGTGCCATATGGGAAGATGCGTCCCCATGAGATGGAGAAATGGTACGTATCAACCTGTAAAATACGTAAATATAATTTTCTTTTAGGAAAATATCATTCTGGTTGAAAATGCAGAACTAATATATGATTTCACAACTGTTCCGGCCTGAATGAAACAGGAATTGGATTATTACTCGGAGAACAATAATGAAACATTTCAAAAGTATAATCCAAGTATAAACACCAGGGTGGTCGGGAGGTCGGGTGGTGCAGTGGATAACGCACTTGATTTTCACCAAGGCCGCCGGGGGTCGATTCCCCGATCGGACGTGAAAAGGTTGGGTCACCTGCCCGACCACGTGAGTTTTCCCCGGGCACTCCGGTTTCCTCCCACACTGAGACCCACCACGCGCTAACATCCGGGCCAACAAGTTTATATATATATACACCAGCGTTAAATTACATACATTTATAAATATCAATTATAACCGCTGGTATTGGTTTCTTTGCCTTTCCTCTTTTTTTTTGGTCAAAATATTATAATGCATTCTGTCCAGTTATGACCATATTTGAGCATTTGATTGTGGAGGAGAAGATGCTGATGACGTTAAGATAATGTGTGCCCACTGAATTTCTTAAATTTTATATGCATTCAAATCCAACTTTAAAATACATGTATGAAAGTCTAAGATTCGGTAATAAAACAAAATGCAATAGCAGCAATCGATATGCAGTTTAATATCCACCAAGGAGAGAAATGGGAAAAAACAGGAACCACTGTCGTTATTTTGGTGCTGTTGAGACAAATTGTTTAGATAAGATTGTGACAGCAGACTCCTCAAACCGTTGTTTAGTGAGTTATTTTCAGCCGTATGAAGACACAAATGATTCAAAAGCTCGTGAAAAAGTTTTTCAGCAAATTTTGTGTACAAAAACAAACATCTCGTATAGACCAAACTAATGAATCTCATTCCAAACCAAACAAAGTTAAAACTGTCAGATCATACTGTACTATATAGGTGTGCTCGCCCGATAGCATGGGAAAAGGGAAAGTTGAGTTCTGACTACTACATAGGAATAGTGAAATTTGTGTTCTGACAACCACACTGGACTAGTGAAATGTGTGTTCTGACTACCACACTGGACTTTTGAAATGTGTGTTCTGACTACCAATCTGGACTAGTGAAATGTGTGTTCTGACTACCACACTGGACTAGTGAAAGGTGTGTTTTGACTACCACACTGGACTTTTGAAATGTCTATTCTGATTACCACACTGGACTAGTGAAAGGTGTGTTTTAACTACCACACTGGACTAGTGAAAGATGTGTTCTGACTATCACACTGGACTAGTGAAAGGTGTGTTCTAACTACCACACTGGACTAGTGAAGGGTGTGTTCTGACTACCACACTGGACTAGTGAAGGGTGTGTTCCCGGCTACCACACTGGACTAGTGAAAGGTGTATTGTAACTACCACACGGGACTAGTGAAAGGTGTGTTTTGACTACAATACGGGACATTAGAGAAAGGTGTGTTCTGACTACCACACTGGACTAGTGAAGGGTGTGTTCCCGGCTACCAAACTGGACTAGTGAAAGGTGTATTGTAACTACCACACGGGACTAGTGAAATGTGTGTTCTGACTACCACACTGGACTAGTGAAAAGTGTGTTCTGACTACCACACTGGACTTGTGCAAGGTGTGTTTTGACTACCACACTGGACTAGCGAAAGGTTTTTTTTAAAATCAATACGGGACTAGTGAAAGGTGTTTTTTGACTACCACACTGGACTAGTGAAAGGTGTGTTCTGACTACCACACTGGACTAGTGAAAGGTGTGTTCTAACTACCAAACTGGACTAGTGAAAGGTGTGTTCTGACTACCAAACTGGACTAGTGAAAGGTGTGTTCTGACTACCACACTGGACTAGTGAAAGGTGTGTTCTGATTACCAAACTGGACTAGTGACGGGTGTGTTCTGACTACCACACTGGACTAGTGAAAGGTGTGTTTTGACTACCACACTGGACTAGTGAAATGTGTGTTCTGACTACCACACTGGATTAGTGAAATGTGTGTCATGACTAATACACGGGACTTAAGACATATGTATTCTAACTACCACACTGGACATGTAAAATGTGTATTCTGACTAACACACGGGACTTGTGCAATGTGTGTTCTGACTACTACACTGTACTTGTAAAATGTGTGACTGACTTCCACACTGGACTAATAAAACGTGTGTTATTACTACCACACTGGATAAGTGAAAGGTGTGTTTTGACTTCCACACTGGACTAATGAAACGTGTGTTTTGACTACCACACTGGACTAGTGAAATGTGTGTTCTAACTACCAGACCGGACTAGTGAAAAGTGTGTTCTGACTACCACACTGGACTAGTGCAAGGTGTGTTCTGGCTACCACACTGGAAACGTGAAAGGTGTGTTTTGACTACTACACTGGAAAAGTGAAAGGTGTGTTCTGACTACCCAACTGGACTAGTGAAAGGTGTGTTCTGGCTACCAAAATGGACTAGTGAAAGGTGTGTTCTGACTACCACACTGGCCTAGTGAAAAGTGTGTTCTGACTACCACGCTGGAATTGTGAAAGGTGTGTTTTGACTACCACACTGGACTAGTGAAAGGTGTGTTTTGACTACCACACCGGAAATGTGAAAGGTTTGTTTTGACTACCACACTGGGAAAGTGAAATTTGTGTTTTGAGTACCACACTGGACTAATGCAACGTGTGTTATGACTACCACACTGGATTAGTGAAAGGTGTGTTCTGACTACCACACTGGACTAGTGAAATGTGTGTTATGACTAACACAAGGGTCTTCTAACATGTGTGTTCTAACTACCACATTTGACTTGTGAAATGTGTGTTCTAATTACCAATCTGGACTAGTGAAAGGTGTCTTTTGACTACCACACTGGACTAGTGAAAGGTGTGTTTTGACTACCACACTGGACTAGTGAAATGTGTGTTCTGACTACCACACTGGACTAGTGAAAAGTGTGTTCTGACTACCACACTGGAATTGTGAAAGGTGTGTTTTGACTACCACACTGGACTAGTGAAAGGTGTGTTTTGACTACCACACTGGAAATGTGAAAGGTTTGTTTTGACTACCACACTGGAAAAGTGAAATTTGTGTTTTGAGTACCACACTGGACTAATGCAACGTATGTTATGACTACTACACTGGATTAGTGAAAGTTGTGTTCTGACTACCACACTGGACTAGTGAAAGGTGTAACTGACTACCACATTGGACTAGTGAAAGGTGTATCTGACTACCACACTGGACTAGTGAAAGGTGTATCTGACTACCACACTGGACTAGTGACAGGTGTGTTCTGACTACCACACTGGACTAGTGAAAGGTGTGTTCTAACTACCACATTTGACTTGTGAAATGTGTGTTCTGATTACCAATCTGGACTAGTGAAAGGTGTCTTTTGACTACCACACTGGACTAGTGAAAGGTGTGTTTTGACTTCCACACTGGACTAGTGAAATGTGTGTTCTGACTAACACACTGGACTAGTAAAAGGTGTGTTCTGACTACCAAACTGGACTAGTGAAATGTGTGTTCTGACTAACACACTGGACTAGTAAAAGGTGTGTTCTGACTACCAAACTGGACTAGTGAAATGTGTGTTCTGACTAACACACTGGACTAGTAAAAGGTGTGTTCTGACTACCGTGAAAGGTGTCTTTTGACTACCACACTGGACTAGTGAAAGGTGTGTTTTGACTACCACACTGGACTAGTGAAAGGTGTGTTCTGACTACCACACTGGACTAGTGAAAGGTGTAACTGACTACCACATTGGACTAGTGAAAGGTGTGTTTTGACTACCACACTGGACTAGTGAAAGGTTTGTTTTGACTACGATACGGGACTAGTGAACGGTGTGTTTTGACTACCACACTGGATTAGTGAGAAGTGTGTTTTGGCTACCACACTGGATTAGTGAAAAGTGTGTTCTAACTACCACACTGGAATTGTGAAAGGTGTGTTTTGATTACCACACTGGACTAGTGAAAGGTTTGTTTTGACTACGATATGGGACTAGTGAAAGGTTTGTTCTGACTACCACACTGCACTAGTAAAAGGTGTGTTTTGACTACCACAATGGACTACTGAACGGTGTGTTTTGACTACCACACTGGACTAGTGAAAGGTGTGTTCTGACTAATACAAGGGTCTTGTGACATGTGTGTTCTAACAACCACACTGCACTAGTGAAAGGCGTGTTCTGACTACCACACTGGAATAGTGAAAGGTTTGTTCTGACTACCACACTGCACTAGTGAAATGTGAGTTCTGGCTATCACACTGGACTAGTGAAAGGTGTGTTTTGACTACCACACTGGACTAGTGAAATGTGTGTTCTGACTACCACACTGAACTAGTGAAATGTGAGTTCTGGCTATCACACTGGACTAGTGAAAGGTGTATTTTGACTACCACACTGGACTAGTGAAAAGTGTGGTCTGACTACCACACTGAACTAGTGAAATGTGTGTTCTAACTACCACACTGGACTAGTGAAAGGTGTGCTTTGACTACCACACTGGACTGGTGAAATGTGTGTTATGACTAACGCAAGGGTCTTCTAACATGTGTGTTCTAGCTACCACATTGGACTTGTGAAATGTGTGTTCTGACTACCAATCTGGACTAGTGAAAGGTGTCTTTTGACTACCACACTGGACAAGTAAAAGGTGTGTTCTGACTACCACACTGGACATGTCACATGTGTTTTGACTACCACACTGGACAAGTGAAAGGTGAGTTCTGACTACCACATTGGACTATTAAAAGGTGTGATTTGACTACCACTCTGGACTGGTGAATTGTGTGTTCTGACTACCACACTGGAATAGTGAAAGGTTTATTCTGCCTACCACACTGGACTAGTGAAATGTGTGGTCTGACTACCATACTGGACTAGTGAAAGGTGTGTTCTGACTACCACACTGGACTAGTGAAATGTGTGTTCTGACTACCACACTGGACTAGTGAAAGGTGTGTTTTGACTACCACACTGGACTTTTGAAATGTGTGTTCTGACTACCACACGGGACTAGAGAAAGGTGTGTTCTGACTACCACACTGGACTAGTGATATGTCTGTTCTGACTACCACACTGGACTAGTGAAAGGTGTTTTGACTACCACACTGGACTAGTGAAATGTGTGTTTTGACTACGCAACTGGACTAGTGAAAGGTGTTTTGACTACCCCACTCGAATAGTGAAATGTGTTTTGACTACCACACTTGACTAGTAAAAGGTATGTTTTGACTACCACATTGGACTAGTGAAATGTGTGTTCTGACTACCACACTGGACTATTGCAATTATTATTCAGACTAAAGGTGTGTTCTGACTACGACACTGGACTAGTGAAAGGTGTGTTATGACTACGACACTGGACTTGTGAAATGTGTGTTCTGACTACCACACGGGACTTGTGAAATGTGTGTTCTGATTACCAGACGGGACTAGTGCAATTAATTTTTAGACTTGAGGTGTGTTCTTACTACCACACTGGACTAATGAAATGTCGGTTCTGACTACCAGACATGACTTGTGAAATGTGTATTCTGACTAACACACTTGACTAGTGAAATGTGTGTTCTGACTACCACACTGGACTAGTAAAAGGTGTGTTCTGACTACCAAACTGGACTAGTGAAATGTGTGTTCTGACTAACACACTGGACTAGTGAAAGGTGTGTTCTGACTACCAAACTGGACTAGTGAAATGTGTGTTCTGACTAACACACTGGACTAGTAAAAGGTGTGTTCTGACTCCCAAACTGGACTAGTGAAATGTGTGTTCTGACTACCACACTGGACTATTGCAATTATTATTCAGACTAAAGGTGTGTTCTGACTACGACACTGGACTAGTGAAAGGTGTGTTATGACTACGACACTGGACTTGTGAAATGTGTGTTCTGACTACCACACTGGACTTGTGAAATGTGTGTTCTGACTACCACACTGGACTTGTGAAATGTGTGTTCTGACTACCACACTGGACTATTGCAATTATTATTCAGACTAAAGGTGTGTTCTGACTACGACACTGGACTAGTGAAAGGTGTGTTATGACTACGACACTGGACTTGTGAAATGTGTGTTCTGACTACCACACTGGACTTGTGAAATGTGTGTTCTGACTACCACACTGGACTTGTGAAATGTGTGTTCTGACTACCACACTGGACTTGTGAAATGTGTGTTCTGACTACCACACTGGACTATTGCAATTATTATTCAGACTAAAGGTGTGTTCTGACTACGACACTGGACTAGTGAAAGGTGTGTTATGACTACGACACTGGACTTGTGAAATGTGTGTTCTGACTACCACACTGGACTATTGCAATTATTATTCAGACTAAAGGTGTGTTCTGACTACGACACTGGACTAGTGAAAGGTGTGTTATGACTACGACACTGGACTTGTGAAATGTGTGTTCTGACTACCACACTGGACTTGTGAAATGTGTGTTCTGACTACCACACTGGACTAGTGAAATGTGTGTTCTGACTACCACCCTGGACTAGTAAAACGTGTGTTCTGCCTACCAAACTGGACTAGTGAAATGTGTGTTCTGGCTACCACACTGGACTCGTGAAATGTGTGTTCTGACTACCACACTGGACTAGTAAAAGGTGTGTTCTGACTACCACACTGGACTAGTGAAATGTGTGTTCTGACTACCACACTGGACTTGTGAAATGTGTGTTCTGACTACCACACTGGACTAGTACAATTGGTGTTCAGACTAAAGGTATGTTTTTACTTAAGGTGTGCTCTGAAGACCACACCGTCTATATATGCTTATCACACGACTCAAACTCTCCATACCTTGGTATCTTGCAGAATCCTTATATCCTCCATATACTTGTGGTAGCTGTCGCACGCTACATTTCCCGTAGAGTTATCTATGATGGCGCCTTTATGGATGTGTGCGATCACGTCCAGGAAAGTTGCGCCACGGCCTTTAAGAACAAAAATGGCAATTCGATCATTGTCAACAACATTAAAATGTTTCTTTTTTATTGGATAGCAGATTAATCGATGCTTATTTGGGAAAATATTAGTCCATAATTATCAAAACTATCAATTTGTTTTAGTTCAAAAAGTGCCACTGAGAGTATAAATGTACATGGTAAGTATTTGAAACCAAGTACATAGTACGTTATAGCTTTCTGATTTAGTAAAAGATAAACCGATGTAAAGCAAAATGCTTGTAATTTTTCAATTTCAATGCCTTTGCTGTGCACATCATAGCTAACTTGTATATGCATTCTCAATCTAACGAACAAAGATAAAGTGGTTGAAGAAACATGAAACTTTTCCGTGTTAATTGTTGTCCTAACATGTTATACTTGAGGACACTTAACGAACCGTCTTCGTTCCATGCTCCTTCAATTTGATAAGCAGAAGTTGATGCTCCCCATCGAAACCCCTCAGGGAATTGATCAAACAGCGTTGAGTTTTCATTGGCGACACGACCGGTTGCCATGCCACCCATTATGTTGAAGCCTTCTGTGAAGCCGTTGTCCTTGACAACTTGTTGGATATATAACTCGGATGCTTTGGGCAGACTTCCTCTCGACCCTGTGCCACCTATCCTGTTTTCACTTCCATCATGGGTGTCCATAGGAGAGGTGAAAAAGAAACCTTTCACGTCTAAACAGTCGTCAATGTTGATTGCTGCATAATGATAGATTAGAAATATACTACGTATTTACAAACGTATAATTATTTCGCTCATCTAAGTGTACATTTCCTTTTCAAACAATAACGTACATAATGGCATTTCCGGAATTACCCGAGTAAATAGGTCTGTAAAAAGATGTGAATTATTACTAGCTGAATTGACCGTACGATTAGCTGTATTATTACTTGCTGAACTAACATTTGTTTTCGAAAAAGATATGGAATGCAATAGGAGGGAATTTTCTTTACTTTGCCTGCCCTTCGATACCTTTTAATATTTCGTTGATGTGATCCCGGTAGCACGCTACTCTCTGTAAGTCCCCGGTAGCACCACCGTCTGTACGGGCAATGCTAACCACCACGTAGATAGGAAGTCCCTGGACTGATCCCTTCAGCCAATTCAACAGTTTACGTAAATTTCCTGGAGCCATTTCTGTTAAGGCTGTTCTAATAATATAAATTAATTTGTATATATATAAGACAATTCCATCACCTTGCTAAAATAAAGGTATTCATTATCAATTCCTGGATTATAGTTTTTAGAGGGGGGGGGGGTCATTATTACATCTTATTTATTTCAAAACTACGAGGATAAAGAAATCCTTTCCAAGTCCATTTCCAAGTTTAATGCGGGCTAATACTATTTTGAAAATCTCCATGCTGTAAACCAGAAGTGTTCTAGGATTACCTTAGTGATACCAAAACGTCCATTTAGGGCTTAAATATCCAGAGACAAACCAATTCGACTTTACCCTTCAAAATTTATGAAGCAAGAAAATATTATATCTTACATTTTCCGAAACAAAAGTTACTGTATTCGATAACGCCTTCAATATTTACCTCGACCATGCGTGAAGGGATTGTTCATGTTCGCGTAAGGGTTGTGAAAGAAAGGTCGTCGGGTAGGCCACGCCTACAAAGTCAGTTGTGCCTGAAATGAAATTAAATAAGTACTTCAAAACATATAGAGAAAATTTAACTGGTTAGTTGTGATTTTATTTATCAGGTTACGAAAACGAACATCAAATAATAGTCATAAGACACATACTGACTTCATTAAAATGAAAAACACGACTTAATGAAATCTTCATCTTTACTTTATACTTATATGAATCTATATAATTATTTATTCATTCCACATTATATACTAATGTTATGACTGCTTGCTATATACTGTATGTTACTGACGTATATGGTTTGTAATACTAAGTTAATGTGTTTACGGTTGTGCATGAGCTGTGTAAGGACGTCTCCCATGTGGTTCGGAAATGATGCAGAATCTGCCATAACGTCATCAATCATGTCTGGCTCACGTGTTTTGTACCAGTTAGTTGATAATATGATGCCTATTTGTCCTACAAGTAAAAAGGAGGTCACATGTTTTATTAAATTTCCTCGCAAATCATATTGTGGCTTGATTTACCCGCAATATTTTCCTGTTAACACTGTGTGCCTGTAGTAAGAAATTGAAAGGGGGCACGGTATAGTTGAGAAAATATTACGAATGTTACAAGGCTATCTTCAATTACGTTTCCGATTCTGTTGGCTTTTTTCAGCTTGGAATATCCCGACCAGGGTATTTGGAAATTACATGTAACAACGATATATAGTTATGTACTTTTTAGTGAACTATAATTGAGTAGATTATTTGTTATGGATTTGACAGGCATGATCGATCGAAATTTAACAGAATCATTACGGAGTTCACATGACTGACGATAAATAGATTTTACATAAAATACTACAGAAAATGTATATAAAGAATAATGCAAAAGTGCTCGAACTCCATTTGCTTTCTTTAAAATTTCGAAATTTAACATATACAATAATCTAGTTCAATTAATTCCATCCACTTTCACATTTGTTTTAATGAATTTTAAAGATCATTGTATTACTTAAGGTTAATATAAAAGTTACCTCCCCTGGTCGCCCTGAAGTCGGTATCGTATAGCTTGTACACCTCGTTATGTGACGTCATCACATTAACCTGAACCTCGGCTTGTATAGCTGGGTCATTTTCTTCAATTCCCTTAACACTGTGCCAACATTTTATCATGGAAGAAGGGTCTTGCATGGTTACCCAAAACTTAACCTGGAAAACAGATACAGTGAAATCATTTTTTGGAGATTGTGGTATTTTTGTAATTGGGTTGATGGTGGAGATTGTGGTATTGTTGTAATTGGGTTGATGGTGGAGATTGTGGTATTGTTGTAATTGGGTTGATGGTGGGGATTGTGGTATTGTTGTAATTGGGTTGATGGTGAGATTGTGGTATTGTTATATTTCGGTTGATGGTGGAGATTGTGGTATTGTTGTAATTGGGTTGATGTTGGAGATTGTGGTATTGTTGTAATTCGGTTGATGGTGGAGATTGTGGTATTGTTGTAATTCGGATGGTGGTGGAGATTATGGTATTATCATAAAGAATTTTATGATAATAGTGCTATTTATGAACATTAATTTAACATTTCATCTCATTCATTATTTTGGATTTCCTCTTACAAACTTTCGGCATTTAATTTCGTTCAGTAACAATTTCATACCTAAAAGCTATTTAATTACATTTGTACCATTTAAGAAAACCTCTATGTGTAAATGTAGCTTGTAACATGTTTTACACAAATCATGGACAATGTACAGAGGATGAAAACAATCATATTCCATTATAATACCCTTGATTTGTTTGCCTCATATATGAATTTTCCTAGTTTACACAGTTCTTTAATATTATGGACACTCAATAACTGGACGACTTTAAACACAGATGTTTTTTTCCAATAATAGCTTTTGATAAAACGAGATCTGAGATTTTGGAATTTAGAACAGACCAATAAAAATGAAATTCGTCCTCTAATTCAGAGGGGGAGTTACACTGTTTACAATATCTACGTTCTCTAGGTATATTATTATACCTTCCAACTTCTATAGCTAAAGAATGGGTAGATGTACGTATTCGAGTTAAACAAATGCGATATTTCTTTGGTATATATTTTGTGAGGTAAAATTGTAATGTTTCTCCAAAATCTATTATATGTTTATACAATAAACATTTTGGAGAGTTTTCCACTGTGGCCCTTAGGAATTGTATGCCTTGATCAAAAATTCTTTGTTTTATCAATGGTAATAACA